TTCTAAGTCATAAAAATATTCTGTGCAGGCAAGCATTCTGAACTTCTCTGCATTTTCTTTCTTGAATTTCCTTGTTACTCTGTGACTTCAGTATTTTACTCTCTGCCTATTTCATTCAATGTATTTATATTCCTGCACCATTATCTCAGCTGCTCCTACAGTATCAATTACTCCTTGAGAAAAAAACAAAGTCCACATTCGCCTCCCTAGTTCTTTTCTCTCCTGGGTTCCACATATCCAACAGCATCCTTTAGATATCTCCATCTGCCCCAGTGTAGACCCAGGGAGCCTGGATCCTAAAGAGTTACAACCCAGGAGACTGCCGTTGCTCACAAGGGACATGATGTTCCACACATTAGTATACACGAGGTAGTATATCTATGTCCTCCAACCCTTCCTTGTAAGCCTCAGAGGGTTCTCCTCTGTGGATGACAAAGGGAGGGCTTATTAATGATATTATTTTAAGGTAATGTAAAGAAAATAAAATTATAACAAGCATATGCTGTCAGGCCCTTTGACTGACTCCAGCCTCCTCTCTACATAATTATTCTACTGGGAGATAAACCAAAGGTGAAATTGTTCAGTCGTGGTTGATTAGCTATTGCCTAATTCTGAATTTCTGTACTGCTAACTATATTAGACAGTTTTTCCACTTCAAATATTTATGCAAAAAATAGAATTTATTCCCCAGTGTGTTAGTTATATATTCATTCATTTAGTTCTTATGTTTTTGAGCTTTTTCTTATTTCTGAGTTTATGTTTGTTAAAGTACACTGTCATTAATTAAGGCAACATGCATAAAGAAATCAATAGCTACATCCAATTCTAAAATAAATTAATGTTCATTAACTTTACTGTATAATGTAGCACTACCCTGAAATTTTGATTTTATTTAGTATTTTATATCATTTTATTAATTCACATCAGTGATAATAGTAACAACTAATCTTTTTCTAAAAGATTTTTTTTTCTTAATTTTCATTTGAATGGCAGAGTTACACATAGACAGGAGAGAATGATTGATTGACTAACCGATCATTCACTTCCCAAATGGTCACAATGGCCAGAACAAAACCAATCAGAAACCAAGAACCAGGACCTCCCTCCAGGTCTCCTGTGTCCAATGTGGTTGCAGGGGATCAAGGACTTGAGACATCCACAACCGCTTTCCCAAGTCATAAGCAGGAAGCTGAATCAAAATTGAAGCAGCAGACACAAAAAACTGCACCAAGAATGGATGTCTGCTGGTGCTGCAGCTGGCCCCAGGTTAGCTATTTTGTAAGAGAAACTTTCTCATGGTTTATATTGCCTGTTGCAAAAATTTAATCCAAAAATTTTATCTCTGGGCCCAGCGGCGTGGCCTAGCAGCTAAAGTCCTCACCTTGAACGCACCAGGATCCCACATGGGTGCCGGTTCTAATCCTGGCAGCTCCATTTCCCATCCAGCTCCCTGCTTGTGGCCTAGGAGGGCAGTCGAAGACAGCCCAAAGCCTTGGGACCCTGCACCCATGTGGGAGACCTGGAAGAGGTTCCTGGTTCCCGGCTTCGGATCGGAGCAGCACAGGCCATTGCGGTCGCTTGGGGGAGTGAATCATCGGATGGAAGATCTTCCTCTCTGTCTTTCCTCCTCTCTGTATATCTGACTTTGCAATAAAAATTAATAAATCTTTTAAAAGAAACAAAAAAAGCAAAAATTTTGTTTCTGATGTATAAACATAGGGGCATATAGCACCTTGCTCTATTTTTGCTAGTTATGATTGAGTAATAGTTTAAATGTATACAAAGTAAGCACCTAACTCACTCATGGAAGCCCAAATTTATATGAGTTGCAAACACAGGAGGTGCTTCCTCAATATTAAGCAATAATTATGTGGATGGATGCTCCATTTCATTTATAATAAAGTGCAAGTGCTTTGCAATTTATATGAAGACAAAAATCCAATTAGGAGGTTTGAAAATATAGTCATTCCATTACTGGATACATTAAATTCTGTCACATTGGAATTCTCTCCTTGGTGTTAAATTTTTAAATCAATTTTTGTCATAATTTCCTCTTGCTGATAAGTTAATATGCATGCTGTGCATAACAGTTACAACATTGAATAGATTCTCCTTTTTTGCTTCAAAAGTTTAATATAAAATGTCATTTCCACTGTGTTCCCTGTGAGGCTTGCTGAAACATGCCCATGAACATAGATTCTCAAGATCTATCTTTTAATTATTACTTCAAGGAAAATTTTAATGTGAAAATTTAAAATAAAAGTTTTATAATCTAATTTATGATAGTAAAATATGAGTTCAAAATAGAAATGTTTGCGTTTTATCAGTACAATCTTCTTATGATTAATACGGGGAAATACTTCAGAAGCTTTCCTGGACAATCTGCTGCTAGAACAGTTCTTCATGGTAATCTGATATGAAGCAAGTGACTTAGGAATGGAAATTCTTTTCCTGTTTTTACAAAATGGAAGCACACTCTAACATCTAAAATGTTTTAAAGTTGCGTAATAAATGTTTCTAACTGATCAGCTCTGTTTGCACTTTTAACAATTTTAGAAAACAACCAGAATTCACCCATGACACACCAGTTCCGGTCACCCCCAAAAGTCATTTAGCCAGTGCACACTGACCTTCTAGAATGGACACTTTTCCATTGACAACAATGGAGTCTGCTAGACATGGTTCTTTGCTGTGGCATTATGGGATAGACAAATACCAGTGGAGAGAGAAATGCCATGGACTGTCACTACAACTTTTCTATTAGGTTATCAGCAGAAATATTCAGCTGAAATGACCAGCCCCACGTACCCTCCTCTGCATTACTAGCAATGGGGAATTCTGAGTTTAATGTTAAGTACAAATATTAAAAATAAAGTAATTAGATAAATGCCATTTTTTCCTTGAGAGCTTTGTCTTCAGAAAGGAAGTTTTCTTTTTTTAATATATATAGATTTTTTTTTATTAATTACGTTGCATTATGTGACACAGCTTCGTAGGCTCTGGGAATCCCCCAACCCCTCCCATAACCTCGGGGGGAGGGTAGATAAATGGCATTTTAAGGGTAAAGACTAAGAGTGTTCGTTTTCCTGTGTTTAAGTTAGAACTTTGTAGTCATTTACCAAGGAAATAGAATGTCAAAAGATTATCCCATTGTTTTAGACAAAAGACAGAAGGAGTGATAGGTCCTCAGTTTAGCAAATCTAGTTCTCAGATTGCTAAAGTCGTAGTTTGTTCTGCAGGAGAGATCTGAAAATATTGGCAAGGTGAGTTACTCTGAACTCTGTCTTCAAAGATCCCTTCAGAATGAACTCCCATCCTTAGTATATTCCCAGGAAGTGAAACCAAGTACGTCTAGTTTTGCAGCTCATTCCTTAGATAATGGGGGAGGTATGCTGTAGCTGCTAAGAATACATATAAATTTTGAAATCTGGCAATATAAAGTTAAATCCTCTTTGTTACACCTATTGGATAAATGATCTCAGAAAACTTGTGTAATCTTAGCCAGTTTTAGAGTTTGTTCCCAGTTATGATATGAAATAATAGTGATACCTCATATGGAGAATCAACTTAGATATTCAAAACTTAGCGCTATATAGAGCATAAAGTAATTATCTCAATAGTAGCTAAATTACAAGCATTTGCATGTTGTTTCATGATTTTCATACTCTTTAGAAAGTCATGGATTTGGGAGAGAAACACATAGGATCTTTTGATTAATGTTTCACATTGCAGCTTTCTTTTCACCAGTACTGAGCATCTTTATTTTCTAAAAACTGTATTAAAAAAATCAAAGGGTCTTTCCCACTCCAAGTATGAGTTTGTAAGTTTGAGTGGTTACATGATAGTGTCTCTTTAATTTATTGCCACTTTCCTCTTGTATCTGTGGGATATATTCAGTGGTCAAAAAAAAAACTTAATCACATCTCATCTGTATAAATTTTTATAACTCAGAAGCTTTTTAGCTTTTATCCTTATATTCCAACACAAAGCATACTATTTATAATATTATGTTTGTTACATGATTACCCCTTGATAACAGGAAAGCTTCATGATGGGAAAATAATGTATTATTTATTCTTGATGAATTAAACAGTATTGAAAACAGATGAACACAAAATGAGGTATAAGAAGCTTTATTTTAGAGCAGGTTTCAGAGCATGGAGAGTTTTAAGGAATAAATGTATTGCTTTATTAAAGAGGTCCTTAATCCAAAAAGACATAATGATTTTTCATGTGGATACAACTAATAGTAAAACACCAAGATATATGAGGTACAAGCTGAAGGGAGTAAAAATGAACACATTTTTATGACTGGAAACTCTAGCAAAAATATATCAGAAATAAAGACATACACCAGGCAGAATGTCAGCAATGATATAGTCTAACTTAACAGCACTAAGTCAACTAGGTACAGCTGACACATACAGCCTAATTCATTCAACAAGAATTCATTACTCACTCTTCTCATCTGAAGTTCAAATAGAGAACTAACCAAGATAGAACATATTTTCAGACATAAATCAAATTGCAACAAGTTTGCAAACATGGAAATAATATCGTATATTCTCTTATGCTGTAATGGACGTAAATTTGAAACCAATAACAGCAAAAATAGAAAACCCAAATTTTAGAAACCCATATTTTAGAAAATCCAAAATATGTAGAGGTTGAACAGCAGCCTTTTAAATTTAACATGGCAAAGGGTAAATCTCAAGAAAATTTAAAGCAATTTAACCTAAATGAAAATGGAACACATCAAAACTTGTCCGCTAGAGGAATAAAATAGTTGAAGAAACATTATGGCATTATTGCATATACTACAAGTTAAAATCAGCGAAGTTTCTACCTTCATAAATTCAAAAAAAGGAAGAATAAAGTACATTCAAAATAAGTGGAAGGAAATAAAAAATAAAAATTAGAGCAGAAATTAATCAAATTGAAAATAACAAATTAATAAAGAACACCAAAATAGAAACATGTCTCTTTGAAAAAAAATCACCACACTTACTGGCAGGGAAGATACCACGATCACGAATGTGGTTTTCCTAGGACGAGGCTTATCCATTGCACTCTGGATGTGCTGACCCCTGCGATTTCCCCAAATGTGGGAAACTCGACTGCATAATATGTGATAGTCGGGGACTGCATTCGTGCGCTCCCCTGGAATTAAAAAAGAAAACAAAAAACACCAGCATTAATAAAACTATAGTGAGATCAGATAAAAACAAAAGACAGAAGGTACAAATTATTATTAGCAAATAAAAGAGGATACATCACTACAGGACTCAGAGTCATTTAAAGGAAAATGAGTAATAACGAATTATATGAACATATAATAATATATGTTAATAATCATAAACATAATAAATAGATTATCCCTGCAACTTTGATGATCTAGAATAAATGTATTAATTATCTCAGAAAATCAAGAGAGATAATCTGGATATATGGATAGATAGATACACTGATATTTGTTAATTAATTAATTAATGGAGACATCAAGTACATAATTAATAATCCTCTGAAGCAGAAAACCTGAGGCCCAAATGGTTCCACTAAAGAATTTGAACATTTAAGGAAGAAATATATCAGTTTTATACAGTGTTTTTAGACCATATTAGTACAAAAAAATACTTCATACTCCATTTCATCAAGGCAATATTATACTCACTTCCCCCTCCATACACAAAAGCAATTGAAGCTTTTACAGGAAACTAGAGACTAACATCTTTCAAAGCATAAATATAACATTCTTCCAGAAAATATTAGCAAGCTAAATTCAACAATGTATAGAAAAATTATGCACACATCAACTACAATGTATCCTGTGCCAAGTATGCAAGGATGGGCTAGCATCTAGAAGTCAGCTCGATAGTATGAATTAAAAAATTAGTAATCAATGTACCGATCCATGATATCAACTGGCCTAAAGAAGAAAACTCATGTGATAATAGCAAAAGATACAGAAAATGCATTTGATAAAATTTGAAAGCCTATTTTTGCTTAGCAAAATAATCTCAATAAACAAATAAAGGAACTTTTTCAACTTAATATATGCCAAAAAAAAAAATCTTCCAGCTGACATTTTACTGAGTGGTAACAACCTCAAAACTTTCCTACGTTCATCAGAAACAAGGAAAGGATATCTTCTTTCATCATTGCTTTTGAAATCTTACTAGCAGCTATAACTAATGCAATCAGACAAGGGGAAGAAATTACAGTGTATAGACTAGGAAGAATTAAAAGTATCTTTGGTTACAGATCATGAAGGTTTATGTAACAAATCCAACAAAGTTAACAAAAACAAAAGTCCTTGCAGATCTAATGAGCGGATTTATCAAAGTTGTAGTAAACAAGAGGAATACATAAATGTCAGTCACTTCCCTAAACAGCAAGAATGAACAAGTTTATTTGAAATTAAGACACTTACATTATCACACTCCAAAGTGAGGCATTTATAAAACTAAGAAGTTAAAAATAAGATTTTTTTGGTGAGGAAAACTATGAATTGCTAGTGAAAGATGTTAAGGAATAGATTGATGGAACAGTATCCCTTGCTCACAAATAGGAAGACAGGAATGTCAAGATGTTATTAAGTTGGTATATAATGATTTAAAGCAACTCCCAACAAAATCCTAGAAAACCAGTTTGTAGATGCAGACAAAACAGATTCTAAAGTTTATACTGAGTAGAAAAATACTTCTAATAGTTAATTAAATATTTAAAAAATCAGAACACTGATTACTTGATTTTAAGCCTTACTCTAAGCCACATAAAATTAATACAATGAGGTATAAATGAAAAAGGACAAATGTATCAATAGAACAAAAAAGATCCCATAAACAGACTGCAAATGCAGTATCATCTGAAGCCTGACTAAGGAGCATCAACAATGCTACAAAGAAAAAACAAATTGGATAACTAACCATACACATATGCAAAAAGTGGATCTAGACACAGACTTTTACCTTCTGCAAAAAATTAACTCCATGCACACAACTATAAAAGCATTAGAAAAATAACAAAAGAAAATCTGTATGACCTTGAGTCTAGTGATACTGCTGAAATATAGCATCAAATGCAGGATCCATGAAGAAGTCATCAGTAAGTAAAATATCATTAAAATTTAAAACTTCTTAATGAAACAATTCCAATTAGTGAAAATGTGTGCAAAAAGCATTCCTTAAAAAGTACTCTTATGAAAAAATATGCAAGGAGCTTTTAAAGCTGAATGGAAAAATAAAATTTCACTAAAAATTGTGCAAAAGATATGGACACAATGCCAAAAATATGTAGACAGTAAATAAGTATGTGAAAAAATATTGAACCCCAAATGTTTTAGGGAATTTCAAAATGAAGAGCGGTGAGATACCACTGATCACTGACTAGGATGGCCAAAATTCCAAACACCAACGATGCTCAATGATTATGAGGCCATGAAGCAGAGAAACTCCGATTTATCGCTGATGGAAATGAAAAATGATACAGTCATCTTGGGGGACAGATTCGGTAGCTTATTTGAAAATAAACATTGTGTAACAATGCAACAGTCACTATGCAACTGTCACATTCCTTGCTAAGTTATACAAATAAGTTGAAATGTATATCCACACAAAACCTGCACATTGATATTTATAGTAGCATTAGTAATAACAGCCAATACTTGGACACAACCAAGACAGCCTTCAGTAGGTGAATAAGTAAACAGTGCTACATCCAGGCAATAAAATGTTCATATTCACTTAAAAGAAATGTGTTATCAAGCCATGAAAATATATGGGTGAAACTTAACTACATATTACTAAATGAAAAAAAGGTCAACCTGAAAAGGCTGTATGATTTCAACTATTTGGTAATTTGGAAAACACAAAATATGAAGAAAATGAAAATGTTAGTGGCTTTCCAGTCTTAGGCTGGAAAAAAATGATGAACGGGTGGAGGTAGAGGATTTTCATGGCAGTGAAACTATTTTGTATGATACTAAATTGGGGAATAGCTAGAGAATGTATTACAAAAAAGTGAATTGTGGGATGAGGGTTACCCATCATCCCATATCCAATTCCAGTCCTGATTCCTCCACTTTGATCCAGTTCCCTGATAAAGTGCTCAGGAAGCAGAGAATGGTCCTGTCATTCATGTGGGAGACTGGGATGACGTTCCAGGTTCCTGGATTCAGCCTGATCCAGCCATGGCTAATGTGGCCATTTTGGAAGTGGAGCAGGAGATGGGAGATCCCTCTCTTGCTTTCGCTCTCCTTCTTAACTATGTATTTCAAATAAATACATCTTTAAAAAGAGAGCAAATTCAAAAATATTATGGACTATGGTCATAGCTTTTGTTCATCAGACTTTGATGAGAGCCTCCCTGTTTTCCTGAGTTCTAGTTCATACTTTACCTCACACAAAACTAGATTCTGGGGTGGATGAGATGGTACAGCACGCTAAAACTCTGATTTAAGATGTCCACATTCCATAAGAGTGCCAATTTCAGTTATGGATTGCCCTTTTCTGATCCAGCTTCCTGGTAATGTGCCTGGGAGGACAGCAAATTATGAATCATGCACTTGGGTCCCTTCTACCCAGTTAAGAGATCGGGGCAGGGCTCCAGGATCCTAGCTGGGGTCTGGCTGTTGCCTATTGTAGGCATTTGAAAAAGGAGGCAGGGTAATGCTTGAATGATCTCTCTCTTTCCTACACTGTTTAAGTAAATGAACATAAACACCTAAAAATTGGATCATAAACAAGTAATAAAAGTCACGAGTTTTAAATTTCTAGTTAATTCAGAGCAAAGGGAATTTCAAAAAACATTTGTATGTGTATCTTGATCCTATATTAAACACAGTAAAAGGTTACCAGTGAATTCTTTAAAAAAAAAAAAGTACTATGAACTTTGGGTGTAATGAAGTGTCAGTATAGGTTCATCAATCATAGTAATTTTTTTATTTTTTATTTTATTTTTTATTGGAAAGTCAGATTTACAGAGAGAAAGAGAGACAGAATAATCTTCCATCCGCTGGGTGGCTGCAATGGACAGAGCTGAGCAGATCTGAAGCCTAGAGCCACGAGCTGCTTCCAGGTCTTCCACATGCGCAGGGTCCCAAGGCTTTGTGCCATACTCTACCGCTTTTCCAGGCCACAATCAGGGAGCTGGAAGAGACATGGAGAGACCGGGACATGAACCGGTGCCCATATAGGATCACAGGCATGCAGGGTAAGGATTTTAACCACTTAGCCATCCCCCACAAAAAATGTTGCACTTTCGAGGATGGAGTATGCGAGAATTCTCTGTTCTTCCGACTTACTCTTCTTTGAACATGAATTCTATGAGGCTTATTTAACAAAAAAGAAAGGAAGAAAGAAACAAAGAATGTTTATTAAACTCGGTGGACTAGTACTTAACAATTGGAACTGTTATCAAATCAATTTTAGCAACATTGAAAATAATGGCTGTAGTATGCACACTCAAATTGAGCATTTTTCATAAGTATGGAATTTCTTTATTTGTGTTTCTTTTTCTCTTCTTTTTTTTTTTAAATCATGCACCACTAAGAATTGTAAAACTGCTCTCCAGAGTAACGTGTCTCACAAATATTTTATGCCAAAACAGTGTTTAAACTAATATATATTGACAGAACTCCAGCAGGAACATGTTAATCTGCAAATGTTTGATATGCCTTAAAGACTGAAAATATTACTGTTGTGTGTTGATGAAAAATGCTCCACAGATGACAAGTGTCCATCTGTTAGTGCCCAGGTACCGGTGAATGCTGCCCATGTTTTAGCATACCAAGGAGTGACATGTGTTAGGTGCTTTCTCTTTTTCACTTGTCTAGGAATTTTCCTTCCTAACAAAATCCTGAGTCTTATTACAATTGAATTATATTATAGCATAAAATCTAAACAAATAAATGAATATTCTAAATTCTGTCTTGCATTTTAGAAAATGCACCGAAAAGGAAAGCATTGGCCGTAGTTTTGCACAGAACATCTTGAGAAATATTAGTATTCTACCAAATGAAATTTGGAAAATTCTACATTAGGTTATTACACTGCTTCAGAATAAAAAATGAATGCTTTTTGCTCAGACTCTAAGTGAACCAGAAGTATATTCTTTCTTCCTGGCATATTAGTAAGAATGCCAACCCTGATTTACTAAGCTATTCT